TTTTAACTTAGCCCTTCCAGACCCTCATGCCTCTTCACCCACTGGCAGACAAGAGAACAAGTCATAGGAGGGGAGCCAGCTCAGTGAGTAGCAGTTGTTCTAATGCAGGGTAGGGGAAAGACGCCAGAGCACTACTAAGCAGGCCTTCCTGCTTCAGCACCGCTTCCCCGCACCAGTGTGTTTGTGCCTGAGACATCTGGCCACTGACCCGGCCTGTGGTGCCCCCATAGGAATCGTCCCACCAAAAGCCAACGCAGCCCAATGTCCTGAGCCCTGGGCATCACAGAGTTCACACACTGAATCATGATGCTTTGTGGAGTGTAGAGTCAGGGACAGAAAACCAGAAAGCAGCAGGGTAGCCAGAGCAGGCAGCACAGCATCCTCACCCTGAGACATATTAAAGAGCAAACAGAAGCAACTTCAGAGGTTATCACGGAGGGAAGGGGAGTGAAACAGTGACCATGTACCAGGAAGGTACAGTTTGGGCTCGTGTATATGACAGGGAAAGAATCACTAAGTGTAGACCTGGTAACAAGTGCCAAGCAGCTACATTTGGGGGCATTTAGGGAGGAGAGTCGTGGGAATCAAACTCAGAACCGCGCTCTTCCCAAACAGGCACTGTGTCACTGTGCTATATGCCCGGCCGTAGCAACTACATTTATTGAAGATCGTGGGAAGTTGTGCTCAGGGAAAGTCTCTCCCCTCAAAAATAAGGCATAAACAGAAAAAAGATGCCAGGGTGACAGAAACGTAAAAGTACTCCACATAGGTCATACCACCCAGAGGAGCAACAGCCACAACCCCTGATTAATCAGGCTTCTGGAACTTAAAGGGTGTGGATTTAAAGGGTGTAGGCATGACTGGCAAGGTAGTGTGTCATCTCAGGAGCTCTCAACGCCTTTGTCCCATCAGAATGCACTCTGATTTTAGTTATATGCATGACATGTAGTACATATTTATGAATCGTAATGAGACAGGAGTGGTGAGTAAGGGTCAGCCTAGGAAATCCAACATGCATGAGCACTTCCTGCAACATCAGATCTCCTGGGGTTTTGTTATTTTATTTTCTACCTCTCTTAGAATCAAGGGAAGAAGCAATGGCTGTAGAGCCAGAATCAAATGATGGAAGGGAGTGATTCTCATTATTTTCTTTGTGTTTGTTTTTTTCATTTTTTGAGATGGTCTCACACTTTAATTCAGGCCAGCCTTGGACTCACTATGTAGTGCAAGCTGGCCTTGAACTTGAGGCAGTCCTCCTGCTTCACCCTCCTGAGTGCTGGGATTATAGGGTTACACCACCAAACCCAGCTCCATTGTTTTGAACTATACTAGCCCCTTTAAAAACCAGCTGAAAACTGGCTGCTTGACCAGCCATAGTGTGCTTTCTGCTCTTCTAACACAATTGAAGGTATCCTATCATAAGATAGAGACAAAAAAATCAAACAAACAAAAAAACACTGGCCACCACACCAACAGGAGCTCAACTGAAACCAAGCAAAGCACTGCCTGCAGAAGAAACGAGGCAAGCTCAGCAGTCCATCCAGACCCCTCGATGTACAACATAGAGTTTCTCCATTTGTGCCTGGGGTTGTTTCTGTAACCCCTGTTCTGTTCCATTTATCCCTGTGTCTGTTTTTGTGCAATATCATGCTGGTTTTATCACTGTAATATAGCATGAAATCCAGAATTGTGATACTTCCTGCCTTGCTCTTGTTGCTCAAGATTACTTTGCTATCCTGATTGTATACTCTGCTACACTGCTGAGTTTGGTTATTCATTCTAGAAATCTTTTGGGAGTGTTTTTGGGATCTTCTCTGTAAAGGATCATGACAGTCATGCATAAGTATAGTGTGACTTCTTCCTTTCCTGTGTGTAGTCTTTTTGTGTGTTTCTCTCACGTGATTGCTCTCACTAAAGTTTCGAGTGATGTATCTACAGGAGTGGTGACAGTGGATGTTGTTAAAGGCAGTGCACAAGGAAATCCTACTGACAGACTCATGAAGGGATTGGGCTGGATTCAGTTCCATTTAGGAACAGGCAGGCTGAAATCAGTGATATCAGCAGGTGGTCTGGAGGAGGGGATCAGTTAACATAGGGTTTGGGACTGAAATGTGTGGGGTCAAAGTTTCAAGGACAGTCAGTGCCCGTGTTTGGACACTGCTGAACATCCTGGTGCCTGGGAGATTGTCCTGTCCTAAATATCTTTATGTCCATCAGCTCTGTTTCCTGAAGGCTGCATGCATATTGGAAGGTCTTTCTCAGGTCAAGCCTGACAGATATCTTTGTCTTGATCCTGGTTTTAGAGGAAAACCTTTCAGTTTTTTTGTCATTTTATATGATATTGCTGTAGGTTTGTCATAAATGACTTATCAGCTTGAGACAGTGTACTTCTAAACCTATTTTCTTCAGTGTTTTCTTTTACCACAAATGGATGTTGAATTTGTCAAAGACTTTTTCCATTTTTTTGAGATGATCATGTGGCTTTTGGCCTTGCTTGAGTTCATGCAGTGTATTAAATTTGTTGATTTGTATATGTTGAACTGGAAGGAAGAGTACTCCTCTGGATATGTGATGTTTTCCATGATTTGTTACATTTTGTTTGCCAGTATCTGTTGAGGATCTTTGAATCTATATTCATTAATGAGATTGATCTGCCTGGCTTCAATTTGGAAAGCAGACCTTGTGTTTTTCCTGGCCCGAGCTTAAACTTAGGGAATCTTTGTCTGGGCAGGCACCTTTTCCATGACTGTCTTTTGTGGCTGACTCCCACCCAGTCATTGGGTGCTGCTGACCCCAGAAACCCAGAAGTTGTTTTAATCGATCCTTTCCCCAGATGACTCCTGACTTATTGAATGGTGATTCAATATGATGGGCACTGTCCTGGATTTCTTCTCTATCTCCAGTCTGCTACACTTTCATTGTAAAACCCCGAACTGTTTTCTGTAGTTCACAGTAACCATGGGCTTTCTTGCAGCTTGCAATGCCAGCCTAATTTTGTTTTCCCTGGAGCTGCCAACCCTCTTCTGGCTTACCTTGTGTTAAAGGAGACAGGACCTCTTGATTAGCTTTCCAAACTGTTTTGTCCTATTCTCTGCATTATGCTCCATTTCTCTGGCTTTTCTGTAGTTTCCCATTTTTCTGTCAACTTCCTCCTGATTCCTGAAGGTCTACTATTTTTTACCTCCTCAAATTATGTTTGCTGGGTCACTCAATTCCAAGCCCCAGAGAGACTGTATTTTGGGAGTCTTATTTCACTATTTTTATTCTAGTTGAATTCTGACTGCAATATACATATATGAGAGGGTGTGTGTGTGTGTGTGTGTGTGTGTGTGTGTGTGTGTATTTTCCTGTTCCTCTTTTTTCTACTTTAATCTATGTATATGTATATATATTTAATACTTATATATGATATTTTTATATGTGAAAAGGCAAATAAGTAATTAGTGCTTTAGTTTAAATAGTATCTTTTTTTAATTTTTTTAAAATTTTATTTAAAAGGAAAAAGAGAAAAAACAAAACAAAACAAAGCAGTGTACAGGTACAAGTAATACAGAACTATCAAAAAAAACAGTAAGAAATCACTGGTTAATAGATTACATATTATCATCTTAGAGATAGTTGCTCAAATCACAGTATCAAAGCATACAAAGTGGACACTCAAACAGTGAGACTGCAAACAGTTGTGTTCAATGATCCAACCAAAAACATTAATATGGTCAGCTATTTAACACCCCTAAACACTCTTGCTGTTGTATCTAAATAGTATCTTTCACAGACATGTCAAGTTAACCCTCACCAAATATCATGTATATTTGAACAGAAGCTTCTTGTCAGCACATTAACTGATTCCCACCTTCTTGCAGACCATTTCACTTCCCCTTAGTTCTCATTCTCTCAGACTCCCTCTCCATCAGCCCTCCACTCCAGATACAAAAAGCATAAACAAAGGCCTCTTTTCTTTCATTTGATTTTATCTTTTTTCTTCTTTGATAGGGTTTTCAGCTCAAGGAAAGAGAGAAAAAAATACAAAGTAACAGTAGCCTTTATTCCAAGGATGGGTAGAAGAGTCCAACGACCATGAGGGTCTGGGCCTCTTCTGATCTGAACGTGGGGTATGGTATATACATATAAGCTCTGACCAGAGGCTGCGCTTAGGGCAGGCATTGATGATGCGCAAGCAACCGATTGGGACCCTCTTCACACCACCAATCTCTGGCAACTGGCAACTTATTTTGGGGCAAAATCCTTTCATACTTTCCTTCTTTCTCTAAATCAGAGTATGCCTAAAAAGTGTACTTCCCTCTGATTATTAGTTCTTTTCTCAATTTTTTCACCTTAATCTGTGCTCTTCTGCTGTATTAATTTCATACAGAATTTAACGTGTTACTATTAAGGGGTATTCTCTCTGTCAGACCTCTGCCTCTTCTCTTCCTCCCAGTAGAAAATGTTTACATAAAACTGGTTCTTTTGAACTTACCTCCTCCATGCCAAAGCTGAGCTGACCTTAAACACTACCCTGGTATACCCATTGCCAGTTGCTGGTAGTGCTGTATTTCTCTTAGCATTAAAAATTGGACAGATAATCCACTTACAGCAGTTAAAAGAACCCAGAAAGTAGTTAATAGCACATTTGGAGTTTGGAACTCTTCGCTTTTGTTTTTTCTTTTGGGTTTTCTCAGTTTTTATGTTAATGCTTTAGATCTGCAAATCTTTAACATAACATTTGTAGGCATGGTTTTGTGAGATGGAGTCTGCAGTCCATACGAGCCTGTCGTGTGTGTGTGTGTGTGTGTGTGTGTGTGTGTGTGTGTGTGTGTGTGTGTGTGTCTGTGTGTCTGTGTGTCTGTATGTCTGTGTTTCAGGAACCTAATGTCTTTTACTGCTAAATATTTTGCAGTTTGCTTACCAGTAGTTTATAAATACTGTATAGCAGTGTTATTTGAGAGTCAAATTGGCACACGTTATTTACTTTGTTTCTTTTTCACCTTTGACCTTCCCAGTTCTGATAGTATCAGCAGTGATGAGGAGGAGCTCAGGACCTTAGGCAGCAGTGGCAGTGAAAGCAGCACCCCAGAGAATGTGGGGCCCCCCTTCATCATGGATGACAACAGCTGGTTCAACAAGTGTAAGAGAGTGAGACAGAAGTACCAGCTCACCCTTGAACAGAAGGTATTTATCAGTCCTCACAAGTTCTTTGACTGATTGTGTTGCACTGTCACTCACAAAAGTCGGGGGGAGGGCTTACTGGGGCTCGAACCCAAAACCTTCACACCAAGCTATCTCCCCAGTCCTCTTCTATGTTTTCATTTTAAGATGAAGTCTCACTGATTTATTTAGTGGCCCAGGTTGGGCTTGAGCTTGTCACCTCCTACCCTAGTGTCCTAGAGGGCTGGGATTATAGGCATGTACCAGCACAAGATCTTTTAACTGAATAAAGTTATCTACCCACTTCCCTTCTGTTTCTGACTTGTCTTCTTATTTAAAAATCAGGCATAATTTAGGATAGATTTTTACTTATTAACCTTTTTCTAATTTTATGCTTAATATAAAATTAGCTTATTTTTATAAAAAGTTTAGTTTATATTTGAGATTTTAGTTCCTGTGATTAACTTCATGAAACATTTGGTTTGTGAAAATGCAGTAATTCCCTGAGCACATCTTTGTTGTTGTTCTTGTTTGGCATAAGGGAAAGGAAAGTGGATTTGGGCTCTAATGGTGATTAAACCCGGGTCTTTACACTAAGCTACATCAATGACCCTTTCTGTGTTTTATTTTGAGAAAGAGTCTTGTTAAGTTCCTAAATTGCTCAGTGTGGGCTTGAACTTGTGATCCTCCTGCCTCAGTCTCCCAGAGTGCTGGGAGGTTTTTCCACAAATAAAGAGGCAAAAAGAAAACAAGGCCTTCATTAAGGACAAGGAGAGGAGTGCACACCCCACAGGGCTCCTCCTCTGACCTGAGACCAAGGAAGCTGAGGTTTATATGGACTTTGGTCAGAGGGAGTTGACTGAGGGTGGGGTTTTTTGGCCTTCCACCATGTTAGAGCACTATAATAATACTCAGCAATTTATACTTCCGAAGAAACCTTTCACTGGGAATACAAGAATGCTGTTTATTTTTTCCTTCAATAAAGTAATGTAAAAACTTTTATCTGCTGAGTTCTGTACTAGGCAAAGTAAAGTACATAAAGAAAGAAAAATAAACTGAATTTTCTTGAGTTTGTAAGCTTTATGTTTTTGCCATGTTATCTATTTTTCCCTTTTCCTCTTCAGATTCACCATTATAGAGGGAAAACCCAGTGGAATTAGCAATATAAATATCAGAACAATAATTCAACAACTCAGAAAACTTATAAAATAAATTTACAAATATGAATTGACTTCCAAATATAAATAACTACTGCTTATAAAATATTTTAAAATCTCAAATATAATAGCAAGAAAAACGTGTATTATCTATATAGAAAAACTTTCATAGCTCATTAGAGGAGACTTCTGGTATTAGCACATAATCAGAATAAGATAACCTGAAAGGCTTTCTATGCAAAAACACACCAATAGAATACAGTGTTTTATAATTAAGTTTATTGGTACAACTTAGATATGCATAGTGACCACAGTCAGGATAGGAACTTTGTACCTGCCCATGATATAGCTTACTTCTCATAAGATATATCTGCACCCTCTTCATTCCCTCTTCCCATCCTTATTCACAAGGCTTTGTTTTCATTTTATCTTTTTCCTCATTGTTTTCTTTTCCCTTCCACCCTTCACACACTCCCCACCATATTCTTAAAAAAGAATTCAGTTTTTCTAAAACATTTCATGCAATGTATTCTTTCTCTAACAAAATGTTAGTGGGAACCAGAAACATAGAAAGACCTGAAAACAAGAGGAATAAGTAAGTGTACTGAGCATAATCCTTTAACATCCAGGAGGAAACAGCACATATAGACATACAATCATTAAGAAGAAAACTGGCTTAAAAAGCAAGAGTGAGATACAATATGGCAGAATGAACAAAGGAATTGGTAAATAAACCTTGACTACATGAAGTAGCAAAAGTAATGACCAAAGTGGGATGGCAGTGGTGTGCTGGAATGTTTTTAACAACTGGTTCCTACATTTGTAGCATTTGCCAGTTTCTCTGGGATGAATACCCCCATCAGGACCAGCTTAAGGCTACCAGTAGAGATTACTATTAATAGTAGTGTTTAATGACTAACTTACACAATTTTTGAAAATTCAGCAATCGAATTTGGAGAGTTCACAAAAGCTGATTGTAGCCTCCCTGAGTTGAGAGTTTAAAAATTAAGTAAAACACTTAGAAAGAGTATGAAGATTATTGCAGCTAATGCGTTTAGAAATTTGATTATAGTGAAGAAACATAAAGATGTTTTGTAATACCTATGTCTGTTTCCATGTTAATGTTTTTATACATTACAATTTCAATAATGAATTAGGATGTTTAATTTTGAAACTATAAATGGGAAAGAAAAGAAATAAAAGTTAATTTTTAAAAGGAATGGGAAAAACAGAACAAAAACTAAAGTTTTGGAAGTAGATCTAAATATAAACAGAGGAGTCAACAGCATCATAAATGGCACAAACTTCCCAGTTAAGGAAACTCTTAGATTTATTAAATTCAGTGTAAAATTTAACAATATGCTGTTTATAAGAGCACATAAAATATAAGGACACAAAAAATAAAAATTGAGAAAATACATATATTAGACAAATATTAACCAAAAGAATTCTGTATCATTTTCACTAAACATAGAAATTAAGGACAACAGCACTATTAAAACTAAAAACAATATATAAAATGAAACAACTCACAGACAATGTATAACAGTAGCGGCTTTACATATATTTAGGAAGGTAGCCATGAAAAATATGAAGCAAAAATTATTATGCTGTTCAAGACAGAAATCAACAAATCTAAAAGAATAGGAAGTAATGTAAATGTCTTTGAAAGTAACTTATAGATTAACCAAAAAATTAGGAAAGATATAGTGAACTTCAACAACACAATAAACTTTATATAAAACTATTTAATTTTTGAATAAATCTTCTCACGAAGCACAAATGGAATACCTAACAATTTTTGGTAATATACTAGGTCATGACACAAATATCACAGATACCAAATAAATGATATAATAGTGATCATGAAGCAATGAAGTTAGATGTCAGTGCAAAAAACTTTACTAACAACCACACACCATTTACTGAATTTTTTAAAAACCTAAATTGTGGACCAAAAAAAATTAAGGAAATACTTAAGAATGAATAAAAATGAAAGCAGTATATGTTAACACTTTCAAGTTACAATTTGAGTGGTACTTGTAGAAATACTCATCAAAAGATAAAAGAATAAAAATTGAGCAGATAAGTACACAAGAAATAGATAAAAACAACCAAATCAATGCATAAGGAGAAAATTAATACTGATAAAATGAAAAACAGAAAATAAAAAAAAGTTTGCAACTACAAATTAAATAGACAAATCCTAGCAAGAATAGTTAATTTTTTAAAAAGTTAAGGCACAAAAAGACAAAGACTTTTAAGAATGAAAAAGAAGTAGATGGCATAACTATAAAAGGAGCACAAACCCTTCCAAAAATTATTAGAAAATAGTTTTCAACTTTATGTCAATTCCTTAGAAAATATAGATGACTAATTTTTAAATAAATATTATTTTATAACTGATAGGCCTATAACCATTTAAAAATTGAGTAAGTAGTTTAAAATCTGTCTACATTTGGGATCTATCATGGGATTTAAATAGTTTTGTAGGTAGATGCTACCAAATATTCTAAAGGAAACCCTGTTTCATAGCACCTGCTATAGTAATTATTCCTGTGAATATAAAAAAGGATTTTTAATAAATTAATCCTGTACAATGCTGATATTAATATAAGATCATGTAAATATAGTATCATAATCTAGAATTATAGTATCAGAATCTAGAATCTAGATATTATAAAAATATAAAAAACAGTAATTAGGGCAATTTGACATTATCTGATAAATACAAAGGTATGCATGGCCTGTGCCCAGCAATCTACTCCAGTCTCACATGTTAGAAACCTAGGGATATATACCCCAGAGGACAGTTGAGCGTGTTCACTGTGATTTTAGGTTTCAGAGAAACAAGACAATGACCCCGTGTTCATTGTCTGGAGAATGAGTGAACCACACTGCTCATGCAGTGGGGTCCTCCATGTTATTGAATTAACCTTACAGCTGGGTGAATTAGTGAAGATGAAAAAGCAGTTTTCAAAAGAATATGACAAACTCAGGGAAATAAAATAATATATTGTTTAAAATTATAAACATTTGCTAAAAACCAGGAAGAAAACCAGGGGATGATGAACATAAATCTCAGGATGCGGTCATCCCTGGAGTGGGTGCAAAGAAATGTAACTAGAGGGAGCGTGAGATTGGCTCTGATGGCAGAGCTGACTGATCCAGGCGGTGGATGGAAGCAGTCTGTAATTCCCAACCATTAAAGTGTGTATAGTTTATATTAAGATAGAGTAAAGCATTTCAATTGTAAAATTTTATTTTTAATTGTTGAGATTTTATTAAGGAAAAGGTAATATTTGAAAATTATCAGGAAAAATATGAAAATGAAGCTCATTGGGAAGAAAAGCACAAGTAACTATTTACAGATATCATAAAGCTGAAGGAAATGAAACAGATCATTGCCCAGAATAGCATAATATATATTGAGATAGATATTTAGTAAAAGTACAATATTCTGATTAGTATCAGCAGAGGCAATGAAAAGCACACCACTACAAAGAAGGGTAGGCGGGAGCTAAAGCTGTAGCTTGTGCAGCTCAGTGGTAGGACACAGTCTCAGCATGGGTGTTAACTCTCAGCACAGAAACCAAACAAACAGGCATGCAGTGAGAAGGAAGGAATCAGTATATCAGAAATTAAAGCACTGTACTGAATTCAAAATTTTAGAGTATACATTCTGTAGTGTCCCAGAGAGCAGAATAAAAGAACAAACATGAATAAAAGGATAGAAGACAGTGTCATATCTATTGGGTATTTGCTAATAATAACAGCTGATCATTATATATGCCATGTAATGTACCAGCTGCTCTTTTAAGTAGTTTACCTATATTGATTCCTTCAATCCTTCTAACAAGGTGCTTATATTGTTCCTGCTTTTTACACAATGAAACTATGGTATAGAGCAGTTCGGTAACTTCCACAAGTACCCATAGCAACACTGGAGTGTAACACAAGGCAGTCTGTAATGCTGCAAGCCTAAAACATTATACTCCCACTAATGTTAATATCTCTGTGTTTGTAAAAATTAATCACATAGAGAAAACTTTATAATTGGTCACTCTGAAATAGAAATACTAAACTAGGACCAGAAATACTTCCAATTTTGATGCTAAGAAGTATGTGTTTATCGTTGTCACGGAGCTTACAAAGTTCAGTGCTGTAATAATAAATGAAAAATAATGTGTGAAAAATATATGTGAAAAAAATGTTCATCGCTGGTGATTTGAGAAATGCAAAATAAAAATACTGAGATTGCATCTCACTCCAGAAAGAATGACTGTTATCAAAAAGTCAATCAATAACAAATGCTGGTGAGGCTGTGGGGAAAAAGGAACCATTCTCCACTGTTGGTGGGAGTATAAATTGGTACAACCACTATAGAAATCAATATGGAGATTCCCCCAAAAAATAAAACTACAGATTCCATTTAACCCACCTATTCCCTTTCTGCATAATCTTCCTACAGGCATTAGGAATATATATACCACAGTGATATATGCACACCCATGTTTATAGCAGCACAGTTTATATTAGCTAAATCTTGAAAACAGTCCATATGATCATCAACAGATGAATGGATAAAGAAAATACAGTATTTATATACAATAAAAAGGATAAACGGGTCATTTTTAGGGAAATGGATGCACCTCAAGACCATAATATTAATGAAGTAACATACACATGTTTAAATATCATATTGTTTCTCAGAGAAACCCAGAGTAAATAAGGAGCAAATGGAGGATCTGTATTGGGAAGTAGGAAGAACAGTTCAAATGGAATGGAGACTAAGGGAGAGGGGGACGGGAAGGAAGGGCAAAGGGCAATCAAGGGCACTGAAGGAGAAAAAGTGGAAGCAAAGCTTTCGGTAATGGGAACGGGAAGAAGGGTCGGTGGAGGGAAATGGGGAAGAAAGAAGAGTTCAGATACAGTATGTGCATGTACAGACTCCCTGTGAGGAATGTGATTGTGATGTGTGGCAAATGCGCACTGATAAAGTAAAATGAAAAACTACAGTAGTCTGTAAGCTTTGCCTTAAATTACATATTTTCTCAAACTTTTGGAAAGAAGCTTATAGAATGGTGAATATTTGTTGTATTATTCAATTAAAGCAATTTTTTTACTAATTTATCAGTAATATTTTGAAATTGTGTCACGACAGTATTGATAGAAATAACACTTGTCCTCAGCATTTATCCTCAAAATATCTCCTGTAATTTGCAGCTGCTATTTTCCTGGTGATACTGTATTTCCAGGGTTATCTTGAAGAACTCTTGCGACTTCGAGAGAACCAACTGTCTGAATCTGTCTCCCAGAATAAAATACTACTTCAGAGGATTGAAGATTCTGATCTTGCCCATAAATTAGAGAAGGAGCAATTAGAATATATCATTGTGGAACTTCAAGATCAACTGTAAGTGAGATCCTTTCAGAGAACTTTTGACATTATATATACATAAGGGCAAAATTTGTTGTGTCATAGAATTCCAGTTCTAGGAAACCTATCTGCTGCAAAACTCTGTTCACTTTTTAAAATTCTTCTTTTAAATTTCTTACAAAAGGAATCCATGGTCTTTCTTGAAACTTTGGGAAATATAAGGAGAAAAAAGAAAATCACCATAAGTTGTGCTATCTACAGTTAAACTGGTATATGTTCTTTCAAATGCAAGTGTATAATTTTCTAAGTAGTTAAGTTATGAAGAATTATAAAAGGCAATATATTAGATCACTACTACTCAGAATGCAACCACAGTACATAAATTATTAACCAGTTTAGTATTAATAGATATAGTTTAATATGGCTTGCTTTTTTATAGAAAGACCTTTTTTGATGAAGGTATAATATATTGAGCTACATTCTGATACAAGTTCCTTAACTTGTAATCAGTCAAAGCACTTATACTAGTTATATCATTTTGTTAAATTTGTTTTTAATTAATTATATATAATAAAAATCTTCACACTAACATTTATTTAATATTAGGGCATATTTCTAATTTTTTATTTTGAAATAATTTCAAACTTCCAGAAGAGTTCTGAAGATGTATGTTGGATTTTGATATTTCCCTAGATTTACCAATTTTTTCAGTACTGAGATTGAACCCAGGGCTTCATACTTGCTAAGCAATTACTCCAGCATTGGTCTACATCCCAGCTGTTTTTAAAATTTTTATTTCTTACCAAGTTTTCAAAATTCTGATCCTCCTGTCTCAGCCTGGCTAAGATTATGGATATGTGCCATGCTGCCAGTTGGATTCACCAATTTTTAACTCGTTACAACACTTTATATCTCTCTCCCTCTCCTTGTATCTCTATGCATATTTTGAACACTAGAGAGATTACATACTTCATAATTATTCTTTAATATTTTAGCGCATCTTCCTTAAGAACAGAGATATTCCCTACATAATACCAGTTCAACGGTCAATTTAAGAAATCTAAATTTATATAATATTGTCATCTTATCTGTAGTCTATAATTCGCATTACAGTTTCATTAATTGTTCAAATACTCTCCTTTACTGAAACTTCTGTTTTTCTGGTACCAGATCCAATTGAGGATCACACTTTACATTTGGTTGTCTGTCTCTTCAGTCATAAACTTAAATCAGTTTCTTAGCCTTGTCTCATATGAGACTAGTATTTCTAAAAAATGCAGGCTCGGATTTTATGTTTATTTGCTTTTTCCTTGATTAGAATGAGCGTGTCCATTTTTTGGCTGGACTACCATATAAGGGCTGTCATGCTATAAAGATGTCCTGTTAAGTCAGTTGGCCCTTTATTAGTAATATTAATTTTAATAATTTGGATAAATTACTTTTTCTCTATAGCTACTCTTCTTCCTTTTGTAAATAACGTACTTTGTGTGAGATCCTTTGAGATTAAATAAAGGAACAAAGTAATTTAATATTTCCTAGGAATTTATATCAATGCAAAGAATTATGTTCACACATAGTTTCCTCTGTGTTTTTGCCAATGTTAAGAAGGTTTATTCTGTGGGGTGTCACTCACCAAAGGGCAGGCTCACCTCTTCATTCATAGAACTGAATCCCTCGGTTCTATGAATTAGGGCAAAAAATAGCAAGAGTCAAATCATAAAGATCTCTGGGTTTTCCTGTATAATTAAGAGATTATTTTGCAAGTGATGCTGGTGAACTACTTTTTAAATGGTCTTAATCCAAAAATACTTGTGGAATTATTTTTTATCAGAAGAGATGTTTTCACTAGGAGCGTTGAATTTGAGTAGATTACAAGTGTATTGTACGTTTGGTAATTTAAACAGAGACTCAAACATTTTAGTTTGAGAAAATAATTGTGAAAAAGTGTCACTGATCCTCTTGGTTTCACAGATAAGATGTAATATTGTTTTTAGAACCATTAAGAAAAATTAAAATAATGTTAATAGAAAACAAAAATTATGGCCATTGATCAAAATTAAACTATTTTCTTGAATTTTGATGTTAAATATTTACTTTCATGTGTATGGTTACTGTCTCTAAATAGGTAAAAATTATTATCTTTTAAAATTCCTTTTATAGGGCTGGGTATATAGCTCAGTGGCACAACACCTGCCTGGCAAGCATGAGGTACTGAGTTTAATTCCTGGAACCAAAAATTTTTAAAAAGTTTCTTTTATAAATCTACTTTATAGTATGCTGAACAGAAGAATAAGATAGATTCCCTTGGAAAGTCCATTACTCACAAATGTTATCAAAATCTTTAAGATGCAGAATAGAACTTAGGAATCTAGCTCAAGGCAGCAGGCTCTCACCATATGCCTGAGGCACTACGAGGCCCAGGTTCAATGCCTAGTGCTCTCAATAAATGAGTAAGAGAGAGTCAGAGTCAGAGAGACAGATCCAGAATAGTATGGGTAGTTTTGTAGCCACAGGAAGAGAGTGGACATTTTTTACCCCTGTGTTGCTGGATATTTTACTAATAGTAAAAAGGCCAAAAGTCAGAGTTAGACATTAAAATTCCTTGTGTTCATCCTGAGAAAGTAAAAGTGGCCCTGAAAGGATTAAAATTGAAAACTTGAACGAAAAGGTCAGAGAATCAAGATTATGAGTTGGAATATGAGGCACATTTTGCATTGATTATCTTTTCCAGGTCATTAAAACTCTTCATCATTCAACTTCCTCTTTTTATTGTTCTTAATGATTTTATGTATTTTGGATTACTGCTGTTCTTTGATCATATCTCTGAATACTCACAAAATCTGAGCATTTCATAGTTCTGATAATGGAGTACAAACTAGAGTCTATGCAAGCATCGTGAGGTTTTGTTGTGATTCAGTGCTGTCCTCACAGAAGCCCAGCTCTCAGCTCGGTCTCAAGATCTTGAAGCCTCTGCTTCACCTGTATAACAGAGATAATACTCCTGTGCATCATTAAGTAAGGCAGATGGCATCAGGTATGATATAATTAGGGAAAAGACAGCTTTCAGGCTGGGGCTAGGTGTGCACACCCGGAACTCTCAGCACTCTGGGAGGCTGTAGAGGAGGATTAGAAGTTGGAGCCCAGTCCAGCAACCTAGCAAAACCCTGTTTAAAAAAATAAAAGGGGTAGCCAGAGTTTAATCCCCAGACCACAACCAAAAAGTCACAGCATTCAAAGAATGTTTGTTCCTCTACTTTGATTTTTAGAACTTTAAAATCTCCTTAAGAAACTCACTAAGAAAAATAAGCAGAAGATTTAAAATCATTTTTACCTTTTTGTTTCAGAAGGCTATAGATCAATCAGTGAGCTTGTGTTTGGTTGTATTATCCCTGAGTTTCAGGAAATTCATCTTTGACTTTTTGTTTCTGAATGGCAGTTGAATTAGTATTTAAAATCATGATATATATTTGTGTATATATATATATATATATATATATATATATATATATATGTGTGTGTGTAAACCATGAGTGAGGGAAACATACATCTACTGTGCAACAGGTTTCACTTGCAACTATCCCTTTCCCATTAATATGTTGGATAAAATATTAATTTGGAGTACTTTACAAAGCATTTACTAACATAGGTATATTTGAATAAATTTATAGTTGCTAGTCTCAAAGTTTCAAAACATTTAAACTCTGCAAATATGTTAAGGCATAATGATATTTCATTGGGAGATATAGTTTATTCTAGGTGTAAATCTCATGGCTTTGAAATCAAGATAGTTATTTTGCTTCAATAACTTTTAATTATATTTTGTATTAAATTTTACTCAATAAAATAAAAACAAACTTAAAGTATTAGTTACACTTTGTATCAATATATAGAAAGTTTGTCATAGGATTATGAAATATATTCCATTTTGTTATACTTATTTGTGCTAATTAATGGGAATACTTTATATTTTAATTTTATTTCATAAACATTTACATAAGTGTATACTTTGCCCTTGTGATCATACTAGTAGCTGAAAATACAGAGAAAAATTGGGCATGATTTTTTTTCACTAGAGGTTTGCAAGCTGATAAGATAGACATCATCAATCACATAATTATTTGAAGAGTGCCATATGTATGACAAAGGCTTTGTCAGCATCCACAGATAGGCCATCAGAGAGATGATTGATACAGACAGTGCTTTGCAACAGGTACATTGAAAACCTCAGCAATAGCCAGAAAGCACTGTAAAATCTGTAGTTTTATGTTTATTACAGCAAAGTGTATATGTTTTTTTAGTTAGCTGATGATTTCTTTTTTGTTAATAGTTTGAAAGGCTATATCAACAGTAACATGTCCTGTAGGGGGTCCATATAAAGGGAACTGAAGAGTCTAAATAAAAGTAAAGTCTCATTCCTTGAAAAAACTAGGTCACTATTGTAGTTCAAGAATTTGGTAAGGCCAGAGGACATGGCTCAGTGCTAGAGTGCTTCCCTACCATGCATAAAGCCATATCCTCTAATGGCTCATGGTAAGTGGCGATGATGGGTTCGTTGGGCCTGCAAACCATAACTCTGTAGTACTCTGCCCTCCTGGTTCACAAGTACAAGCTGAATGATTTAGATACTAACATAATGGGGCAACATGTCATCCTGCCCCACTTAAAGTAGACAAACTATGACAGATCCTGGTCATCTGATTGTGTGTGTGTGTGTGTGTGTGTGTGTATTTGTCAGGTAACAATTATTGTTAAAACTTTAAATTACAACCATGTTACTATATATTACACAGTCCATTGTCTATTTGAGGACACGATCATTAAGAAAATGTAGGAGTCAGGGGTTTAGCTCAGCGGTGTAAGTGCCTGCTTGGCAAATGCGAGGTTGAGTTTGATCCTGGCACATACACAAAAAAAATGCAATCAGAAGATTAAAAACCAGGTACCACAAAGGTAAAAAGCATGTTCTATTGTACTTTTCTGGATATTAGTGGAAAATTAGATGTCTGTATATTTATTTGAGTCAGGGGCCTAGCAAC